CAGAATTAGAAAAAGAAGTAGTAAACATATAGTACCAATTCAAGAATTGGGTTATTCCACTTTGCTACTAACTGTTCCAAAATAAGACATCTGGTGACTGGGAAGTTTGGTTTCTCTCTGTGTTTGGTTAACCAGCTGGTTGTTCTGGAAAGGCAGAGGCACTTAATTGTTCTTGATGAAAGAAGCTGGGCATTCATAGACTTCCTTTAAAGGATGACTTTTGAGTGGAAGATGTACTTGAGAAACTGGACATCTCAGGAAGTTATTGGGGAAAATGTCTTTGTTTTTAAAAGATACTTCGCATGTTATATCTGGAAGCTGAAGGATAATCTCATACTGCATGAGAAAGTGTGCATGTCATTCCTCGCTCCCCCTCCCCCTTTTCCTTGGTAACAGATTCGTGCACTTTAAAAACTGCTTTCCCTAAGAATTTTAGTGTATTTAATGCATGAGATGCCATATGTTGCTGCAACCAGTATCTTGAACATTCATGTGAATAAGAATAGCATATTCAGACTCACTGAGCAGGATTAATTTACAAAGACCTTAAGTCTCAGTCATTAATGAATATGATATTTAAAATTACATTGAAGTTGTAACAGATGTCAGTTTAGCATACCTTCCACTAAATATTCAGCACTTCTTCCCAATTGAAAACAAATGGTTCTTTGGCAAATTGTTTTAAAGTCAATTCTGTGTTCATTTAAAACATACACACAAATTTCTCTGGATTTTTAACACAAAGATTTTCTGAGAGATATTCTGCTGAAGTTAAACCAACGCATACTTTTGATCCCAGGGTATTGTTTCCTCTAGGATGTACTGCTAATGCGTATGAGTGACTGTTCTTATTTCACTCTTCCCAGTTTTTCTGGAATATTAATAACCAGATTCCTAAGTTTCACCCATGCAGATTTGCGTCACATAAGCTAACATTAGATAGACTTGATAAATAATAAGCTCCTTTTATGTCCATTATCGAGCTTTTGTGACTACCATTAGATTTTTCAGGTTTGCCACTGACTGTGCCACCAGCATATGACGTTAGACATTAGCAGCTACTGCTTCCAGGTGCTCTGCCCTACACCTCCCCTTTAGAAAATATGATATATTGGGCCGACCCTGTGGCGCAGTGGCTAAGTTCACGCACTCCGCTTCAGCGGCCCAGGGTTTCACTGGTTCAGATGCGGGCATGGCACTGTTCGTCAGGCCACGCTGAGGCGGCATCCCACATAACACAAGTAGAAGGACCCACAACTAGAATATACAACTATGGACTGGGGGGATTTGGGGAGAAAAAGCAGAAGAAGAAAAGAAGAAGATTTGCAACAGTTGTTAGCTCAGGTGCCAATCTTTAAAAAAATTTAAAAAATTAAAAAAAAAGGAAATATATATGTACTATGGAGGCAGTATAGTGTAAGAGTTAATAGTAGGAGCTCTGAAACAAGAATGCTCGAGTTCTGAAAGCAGCTTTATTACACATTAGCTGTGCTTTTCTCATCGGTTTAATGAACAGATTAGTACTTATGGGGTTATTATGAGGTTATATCATCATTTAAAAAAATTTTAGCAATATCGATAAGTACTAGAAAGAAGATAACACACCCCCTCCACTCACACACCCACACATACACTCTAGATACTTGAAATGCATTTTATGAACATTATTCCAGAGACCTTTCTGTGCATATATACAGATAGAGTGAACAGAAGCATGCATGGATAGAAATAATTTTAGTAAAGTGGGATAGTAGATTATACATTTTCTCTAAATAGTATTATGTTTAATTTAACTTGAATTTAATAAATGAAAAGTAAATAAAATGAGAGAAATTACTGAAATTCAGGTGTTTCTTTAGGGTAAGACATTCATTCCCTTTGAGTTTAACCCAAAGAAAAGATGAATGATATTAAGAGGTTGGAATCCTTGTTTTGGAGGTTTTTAAACTACATGTTTCAGTTGTCTGTACAACTGAGGGACGGGCACAGTCAGGTGTAGGTCTTTCTGGTCAGCAGATTGCCTCTCATGTGAGGACTGGGGGACTCAGACTCCTTTCATTTCATGGCTCACCCATCCTGTAGGGCCCGGTGGTCCTCTGTATCCAGCCAGCAGGTGGGTGAGAGAAGGTGAAGAAGACACACTGCCTCTTGGTCACCTGGCCCAAATATGACATGCTTCACTTCTGCTGGCAAAAACTCATCACATGTTGGGGCTGAGGCACTTCTTGCTGGGGGACCTGGACTCTCTTTTCCTTTCTGAGATCCCATGAAATGTCCTGACCCAAATCCGAGGTGTATCCCACTCCTATGGGCTGCTTCTCATTTCCCAAACTTAGCGTGGAGACCTTAGAAGTGCAGTAGCCCCTAGCAGCCCTCCTTGCCTTTGCTGAGCTCCTGCAGGAAGAAGGAGTGTTTACTTTTGAGGGTTTTTGTGAGGTCGCCTACCTATCCCCTGCATTGTCTTCCCTTCAAATTTGGGCATATTAGTAAGAATCCTCAAGATTTTATTTTTACCTTCCTCAGAACTGCTTCAGGGAAAGGGGTGTTGTTGGTAAGGGGAAGGAGATTGTGTTGAGCTCTGCTGTATAATTTCTAGTTTATAATGAAAAACAGATTAGAAAGGTGACTAGAGCAGGGTTTGGTGGTGGGGTCCGTGACTGGCCTGAGACATCCCAGGTCTGGCATTGAGATTGACGTAGAGTTTCAACATAGGAGCGTTCCTGGTGTGTACGTAACTGAAATCCTTTCTGTCTGGAACCTCCAAACATCCATGATATGTATCAAGGGGCATTTTTAAAAAAAAACTATTTTGGAATAATGTTACGTTTATAGAAAAGTTGCAAAGATAGTGCAGTTTCTATTTACCCTTCACCTAGCTTCCCTAATGTTAATGTAACCATAAAACATTTGTCAAAACTAAGAAATTAACATTGGCATAATACTATTAACTGAACTATAGAGTTTACTTGGATTTCACTGGTTTTACCACCAATATCCTTTGTCTGGTCAAGAATCTAATCACGGATACCACGTTGCATTTGGTCATCATATCCCCAATCTGTGACAATCTTTCAGACTTTGCCTGGTTTTTGTGACCTTGAAACTTTTGAAGAATACTAGCCAGGTATTTGTAGAATGTGCCTCAATTTGAGTTTATCTGAGGTTTTCTCATGATTAAACTGGCGTTATGGATTTAGGGGAAGAATAACACAGAAGTGAAGTATCTTTCTCATCACATCACACCATGGGGCAAGTGACATCAACAAGACTTATCACGGATGATGTTAACCTTGATCAGTTGGTTAGGTGGTATCTTCTGAATTTCTCTACTTGAAGTTACTATCTTTTCTCTTTTCATACTCTGTTCTTTGGAAGTAAGTAATTAAGTCCAGTCTATACTCAAGGGAAGGAGAATTAAGCTCCATCTCCTGGAAGGACTGTATTTGCTTATATTACTTAGAATTCTTCTTTAAGGAAGGTATGTCCCCTCACCCTCATTTATTTACTTATTTAGTCTCTTATTTTTATCAGTATGGACTCATGATTATTTGTTTTATTCTTTGGGTTATAATCCAATATTATTGTTATTTTGTTGCTCAGATTGGTCTGGGGTGACCATTCGGAGATCTTGTCTCCTGTGGTGTGTTTTTTTAAGCACTTCTTTACTTTCTGGCACTATTTGATGTCCCCGGCTCATCTTGTATTTCCCTGCCCCAGACTTAGAATCAGCCATTTGTCCAAGGAGTTCAGAGGGTATTTTTAATAATTTAAACCTTAAGCATTTTTTATTGATACCTAACTAAAACATAAGAATCTTGGAGAAGTTCATTTTGAACTTAAGGCAGTGAAACTCTTACCATCGTCTAAAACATGTTGAAGTTCATTTGTTCTTTAGAAGTATACTTTTCATTATAAAATGAAAAACAAAATCTTAAAAGGCACCAACTCAATTTAGTATGTCAACGGTTTATTCAGGTTTAAGAGCTGTTTGATATTTGTGTTCAAGAAATTTTGTATGCATTCATTTTTTTAAAGTTTTAATATAAAAGTAACTGAGACTGCTTACATTTTTTAAAAGCTGTAAGAATTGTAGTTTTAAAAATGTGAATGTGAAATGAAATTAAAATATAATAAGGTAAATCAAATGAAAACTCAGTAGAAAGAAAATAAATTAATATTGCTTATTTTCTTTATGCCAAGAATTGTGTGCTCTACATACTTCTGCTCTTTGTTCCTGTATCATCTTTGATTACCTCTCTCCTTGGACCTATCGCTGTATATTGTAATCGTTTACTGGTTTATCTCCCAACTTCTTGAACACAGCAAGTACGTTTTTCAGCGGAGTCTTCAGCATTTAGCATAGTACTTGGCCATAATAGGCACTCAGTATTGAGTGTGTCAATTGTTATCGCCGTTTTAAAGATGAGGCAGCTGAGGCTTAGAGGGTCAGGTAATTTGTGCAATGATGACTTGCTAATTTGTGGTAGAACAAGGGCTTGAATTGGGAAGTTTGAATCTTAAACCTATTCCTTTTTTTATTGTACTACACTGACAGATTTTTGATAAGCTGAAAATGCTTCATTGCATTATTTCCAACTTGACAATCTCTGAAAGTATTCATAAGAAACTGGTAACATTTGTTGCCTCCTGGGAGAGGAGAGGGGCTTGAAGACAGAAATATTCCAGGGCTGGCCCTGTGGCCGAGTGGTTAAGTTCAAGCGCTCTGCTGCAGGCGGCCCAGTGTTTCGTTGGCTCGAATCCTGGGCGCGGACATGGCACTGCTCATCAAACCACACTGAGGCAGCGTCCCACATGCCACAACTAAAAGGACCCACAACGAAGAATATACAACTATGTACCAGGGGGCTTTGGGGAGAAAAAGGAAATAATAAAATCTTTAAAAAAAAAAAAAGACAGAAATATTCCAAGACATTAGTTTTGGAACCTTTTGAATTTTGAACCATGTGATTATTTTAGATATTCAACAATATAAATACATTTAAAAATATATACAGGAACCTACCAGATGGAGTTTTATATTAAGTTTTATCTTGTTTTTTCCTTATTATTTTTGAACAAACACAACTGAAATGGTGGGGAGGGGAAAAAGATAGAATATTCTAAAGGGAACAAAAGGTCAAAGTCTGTCTTTAATGTGAATGCAATTTGACTTTTTAAAGTATGCCCTCTCAGTCTTTCTTTGTAGGAGCCCCTTACATTAAGTCAGTACTTGGTGATATCCTCAAGACTTTATTTGATTACTCCTACTTAGGGTGGTTCAGGCTGTATTAACAAAAACTCTACTGCAAACTGACTTAAACAGTCAGAAAATGTCAAATCTCATAAAAAATAAAAGTTCTTTCCATCAGTTGGATTGAGTTGGCTTTAGAATCAGTGTTCCGCATCTTAACAAATTATAGTTGGGAGGGGAATACATGCATAGATTGGCAAAAATGTAAGCTTTCTGAACCAATTACTGGGGGGTTAAAAGTGAAGGGATTACTCTGACTGGTTTAGGCTGATCAGGATCGCCCCTGGAGCTGAGGGCAAGTCCTGAAACCGTGTTGATGCCACGTGGAGGAGGGAGAGGGGACGAGTTGGAAGAGTTCCGTCATACTGTCCACTGGGGTTTCTTAACTGCCCTTCAAATAAAGTATGATGTATAACTGACCTCTCTGTGCCTCATAATAATTTTTGAGGAATGTCATTGTTCGTGCTGGAAGATGGGCTCATGGGGGTATCTTTTACTCTTCTCTACTCCATGCAAATTCCATAACAAAAAGTTAAAAAAAAAAAAGAAAAGTGGGACACAAAAAATACAGGGTAAGTGATGGATGCTTACTGTACCCTTTTTCTAGGTTGGTGTGTGTTTTTCAATCATCCTGCTTCCTTTCTTTCTCCTCTGCTTGTATGTAGAATGAACATGTAATTCCCCTCCTCAAAGCCTAATTGGCATATTCCTTAATTAAAGTTGACACTAATACTTCGGTATTTACATAGAAGAGCAATAGCATAGTATTAGAGTGAACACAGGTTCACAGGTTTTGAAGTTACAACTTGGCTTTCAAACCAGACTCCCCCCTGTACCCTCCCCACAGTAGCTATGAGAGCATTGGCAAGTGACTCCTCTCTGAGCTTCAATTTCCTCTGTAAAATGAGGATAATAATACCTGTCTCCTAGGGTTAAATGATTAGGATAAAAAAACTAGATGTAAGTTTCTAGCACATCACCTAGCTTTTGTTAAACTCCAATTATGATTATTTTCTTCTCCGTGAGGCTCAATTATCCTAGCCCAATTTGATAGATATGGTAGCATTATTGTAGTTAAATTATAGGCGTGGATTGTGAAGTTATTAGAGCCCATTCCTGAATGACTTTTCCCATTAAGCTGCTTCCTACATTTGGAACATTTGCTGGGCCTTTGCATTTCACAGTCATAGCTAGTTCCTTATAGTCATTGGACAATATTAAGTTTCAGCTGTGGGGAATTAGGTTTTTCTGACCTAAGTCTGATAAATTGTCTCAAAAGGGAACTAGTCCTTTATCCAACATATACTGCAAATACACTTGTTACTCCTCAGTAGTAAAAATGTAACAGTATATGATGCTCATGCTGTCACATCTTTCAAGTATGATGAACATTCATACCTGAAAGATAGAAATACATTTATTTCTCAAGATACTGTTCATTTCTGATTTCATACAAAATAATATGCAAGAGTCTTTTAGTATAGTGCGTTTTGTAATCAATAGCTTCTAAATAGATGTAAAATGTATGCTATTTTCTTTTAATACTTTTTTTCTCTCTTGTTTAAATGGGAAAAACCTACTTCCTCTTCCATTATGGAATTATGTAACCTAGGCTGTCCTTCAGATTTCATATTCACGCTTATTAGCCAGTTCAGAAGTAAAAGCAATACCTAATCGCAGCTAGATGTGTTTAGGATGTACTTTATATATAGAAAGAACATTTGATTGGGTTAATTTTAATAGGAAATAACATGAAATAATATTTCCATTGATAAAAATGACTTAAATTTTATTAAAGCAAAAGCTACAAGTGGAATTCATACTTATGTTTAGGGATTTTCTTCTTAAGTAATCACCTCTTAATTATCTAGGGACAAGTATTCAGATAAGAGATTAGTCAGCAGTTCCCATCGAATGTGTTGCAAGATGGCACTTCGTCAGGAATTGAATATTCTCAGCCCTTTGAAGCCTATCCTAAAGTGTTTGTTTTGGGGTGTCTTTGTAAACGTCTTCCAGCTGCTGCATTATTTCAGACGTGAGGATTCTGTATCCCAGTAAGAACCACAACAGCAGTGGCGGCTGAGTGCCAGGGCACTGCTGGGGTTCTGCCTTTTCCTGTTCTGTACTGAGTGGGTCACGAGGAGGTGGTAGGAGTTGTTCTGCCTCAGCACAGGTAGGCCCATATTTAAATTGGTTATGATGGCCTGCTACGTCCTCTAACTCAATGATAAGGAATTTTTTATAAATGAAGAAAAATTCTTTATAGTCAAGCAAACTATCATAGTTTTAGACTTTACTAAACTTCCTTTGTCTGGACCTCTTTTCCTTGTCTCAGCTTGGTGTTGGGAATTAAGGACACAGTGTTTCACCTGTGTACGATTCAAGAGTTGGTGGCAGCAACTCCCCTGTCTTTTATCCATTTGTTTCTCTTTTCTCTGCTGTTCTCTTTTGGCTTATCCTCATCCGTCTTTTCTCCTCTCTACTCCTTGCTTTAGTCCTCTTTTCTGTCCCTCTCTGTTTGCGTCCCTTTTCATTTGTGTGTGTGTGTGTGTATGTATATTGATATAAGAAAGGTTCACTCCACATCCTCATTTCTCACTAGCCTATTGAGATCTAGAATACTAACTAAGCTTCCTTTTATGCATCTAACAGAAACAAACAGAGAAAAGATAAAAATGATGGTTAATTTTACTTGCTTTCTTCATATGTTTGTGTTAGCTTGAACCATATAAAGTGACAATATTGTTTTCATCTACAGAAATACGTTTAATCTAACACTTCCCTAAGTAGCCTGCAGTCCAGAAGTAGGATTTGGAAATTGATTGGATGAGAGCCCTGAGTAGGAGAGTTGCATATTTTCTAGAGGGTCTGGCTTAGATAACTGGGTAGATCAGAGTGTTGTCCTGGTGCCAATACCACTGACGAAGATGGAGAAGATTGAGAAGGGTGCGTTGTTTTGTTTTTAAGGGAAAGGCTTGGTTGGGGAGAAGGGAAGCATAAATAATCAGTTTTGTTTTGGGGTGTAGTGGGACATGTTCAAGGAGAACTGGCTAGTAGACAGGTGGAAATAGGGATTTGTAAATAGAGAGATGAGATTATTTGCATACAGGTGGCGCTTGAAAACATGAATGTGAAGAGGTTACCCTGTGAGAGTGCAGAGGGAGAAGAAAAGAGAACTATGGCTTCTTTGGAGGACTGGCCAGTAGATCGTGCAAAGAAAACTCAGATGGGGGCTATACATAGCAATAGAAGAGTGCATTCATCATTTTGGAATGATTTGTTAGTATGTAAAGTTAAGGATTCACTCAATAGCCTTGGACGCTTATATTGCAAATATGACTCACTTGCATATTAATGTGTTAAAATGTAAGCTAGAGGTTCTCATGTTTCCCCATAAGAGCTTAAACTATTTTACTGTTTGTATCTGCGGATGAATATAAGCTCTATAGCTTGAGTCTTGTGGGATATGCCTGCTTTACCTCTAATATCTGTCTGTCGTCTTTGCTTGTTCTTTCTTTTTTCTGAAGTAGTGCACTACATTTCAACAGTGCGGCACGTGGACAGCCATTGCAGTTGTTACCATTGCTACGGTCTTGAAGTGTTAGTTTGCTGTAGCATTCCATCTGGGGCCCACTCTGCCTGCCTCGTCAATCCCCGGAATCCTTCGAATGATGGCCTCGCAGGTGACTGTTCCATCTGAAACAGACTCTGCAGGCAACGTAGCGGAGGGCAGGAGTCCAGTACTGCCATCCTGCCTGGGTGCAGCAGTGCGCAGCCGTAGTCCTATGAATTACTATTAGCTCAAAAGCTGCAGTAAACCTTATTGTTTAAATTGTCATCAGCCTGCTTTTTCATATGCAGAGGTCAATGTGAACTAGTAGCAAAGAATTGTTGCCTTCCTAACCTCATATTAACACTTTGAATATTTCAAAAGTAAGCAGCTGTTTCTATGTAGAACGAAAGAGAGTTTGTTCCTTGGAGTGTAGAAGCAGTATACTCTTAAGTAAATACATGTTTTAGGAGATATTTTAATAGCTTGGGCTAAAAAATTATGTTCAATAATGTTTTTCTTCACAAATAGAAAATCTTTCTCTGTATTTCCTTTTTGTGCTTTATTGAAAGTACTGTTAAAGAATGCCATTATTTTACCATTTCCATGAACAGAGCTCCTGCAAAGATACAGACACATGCGATATCCTCTTAGGTTTATTCTCGTTCTTCTAGAACTCTTCAGCGCTTAATGTGTGAAAGTGTAATCAATTATTCATTCACTTATTCAACAACTATTTACTGATAAATAAGCAAGAAAGAGTCAGGTAATAAGTTCAACAGTGAAATAAGGCTTTTAAAAAATACTGAGTTAAAAGGGCAAATTGCAAAGAAGATACATATAAATGTGATTCCATTATTACAAATTCTTGATCATAGTAGTTGTGTCCATAATGTTTCATTTCTTTAAATTAAAAAACTGAAGCAAATATGGCAAAATGTTGACATCTGTTAAATCTAGGTAGTATGTATCTGGGTGTCTCTTATACTTTTTCTACACCTGGTACATTTGAAATAGTTCTGGGGCGGCCTGGTGGCACAGCAGTTAAGTGTGCACATTCCGCTTTGGCGGCCCGGGGTTCACTGGTTCGGATCCCGGGTGCGGACATGGCACCGCTTGGCAAGCCATGCTGTGGCAGGCGTCCCACATATAAAGTAGAGGAGGATGGGCATGGATGTTAGCTCAGGGCCATTCTTCCTCAGCAAAAAGAGGAGGATTGGCAGCAGTTAGCTCAGGGCTAATCTTCCTTAAAAAAAAAAAAAAAGAAAGAAAGAAATAGTTCCTAATTAAGCATTTTTAAATTAATAAAACAGGCACTACGATAGTGACAGGCTACTTCAGGTTGGTTGATCGGAGAGGGTCTCTCCAGGGAGGTGACATACTGAGACCTGAATAACAGGAACGAATTACTCGTGAAAAAATGTAGGGCAGGTATTCCAGGTAGAGAAACAGCTATTGCTCCAGTCCTGAGGCAGAAGCAAGCATGGCACGTTGAAGGAAAGAAGGCCATTTTAGTCCATCTGCTCAGCAAACCAACAATTATGCTGTGGAGGTGACTACCACGGCATAACTATAAGTGGTCATTTAGTCTCTGAATACTTATGTTGAAGGAAACTCACCATTTTCAGACTTATCTTATTCTTAGGGTTTTTCCATGTAGGGCTTACAGACTAATGGAGTCAGATCAAAAGGACACAGAAGCTGGCTTGGAGAGTTTCTCAATGGCTGAGGTGGGGGCAATTTGAGCGCCGACGAGAGCTACAAAGTGAAGGATTATAACACAACTTTTAAAAATCATAATTTCTTAATGATACTCAGAGAGAAAAAGGAAAAAGCTCTTCTTTATAGAAGCATGTTAGTTAAGGTAGAAGATGACTGTTTTGCAAATCCCTGTATAATCACTGATTCAGGTAAAGATAATCCACATGCGCTAAAATCTGCATGAAAGGCTGTTGGAGAGTAGGATATTCATATAGTCTCAATGTATCATCTCGTGATTACTTACTAACTACAAAGGAAGGAAAGTACCTTTTTAAATTTTTTTTTTGAGGAAGATTAGTCCTGAGCTAACTGCTGCCAATCCTCCTCTTTTCGCTGAGGAAGACTGGCCCTGAGCTAACATCCATGCCCATCTTCCTCCACTTTATATGTGGGACGCCTGCCACAGCATGGCTTGCCAAGCGGTGCCATGTCCACACCAGTGATCTGAACTGGTGAACCCTGGAACGCTGAAGTGGAAGGTGTGCACTTAAGCGCTGTGCCACTGGCCAGCCCCGGAAAGCACCTTTAAAATGGAGAGATCTGGCAGTTACTGCCTTAGGCAAGTGATCAGATGTGGTGTTATGTGCCCCCTGGGTGTGACACAGTAAGAAGTACCCAGCATCACCTAAATGGTATCCCTGCCAGAAATGTTAAACTGCAATCTAATCATGAGGAAACAATTAGAAAAATCCAGAATATGGGACATTTTGTGAGAAAACTGGCCTGGACTTTTTAAAAAAATTCAATGTCATGCAAACAAAAGATTAGGGAGGTGCTCTATGCCAAAATATTTAGGAATGAAGTGATAGTTTGTCTGCAGACAAATAGTTCATGCAAAAATAATGTGTGCTTCTGTGTGTTTCTAGAAATAGAAAGCAAATAAGTTAACAGTGGACCTAGGAGGTGAAAGGCTATATGTGTGTGTATCCATTGTACTATTCTTTCAACTTTTTATAAGTTTTTAAATATTCAAAATTAAAAGTTGGAGAGGATGCTTGTTCCTCTTTTAAACCCAAATCTAACTTAGTATTTTTTGCCCATTGGTTAAATTGTGTTTGGAGCCACTCTGATATATCCAAATTCTCCCCCGTGTGGTGTTAGTGGTGTTGGTAGTGGTAACACTGGTAATTTTTATGTAACATCCGTTGATTATGTATTATGATATGCCAAATGTGCTAAACACATTATTTCAGTTAATCCTTCTAACAACTCCTGGGTTAGTATTCATTTCTCCTTGTTTAAAGATGAAAAGACAGACACTTAAAAAGCCATCACTAAAGCAACAGAAATAAAAAGCATTTCATCTTAAGAATGAAAATGTGACTTGTGAGGCAGGCCAGAATATTCGTTGGTGAAAGCAAGATAGAAAAATTTGTGATAAAGTCACTAGGCATGCATATTTTTCTGCCCTTGAACTTGTTCTGCATACAGCCTACCATTAAGGGCAATCTCGTGTGGTAGTTACGAGCACAGTCTCTGAAGCCAGAATGCCTGGGTTCCAATTCCAGCTCCACCATTGACAAGCTGCCACTGCCTGAGAAGCGCTTCTCCAGAATCCATACTGGGAACCTCCATGGTGTTAGTTTCCTATTGCTGCTGTAACAAATTACTACCAATTTGGTGGCTCGAAACAACACAAATTTATTATCTTAGAGTTCTGAAGGTCGGAAGTCCAAAATGTGTCTCCCTGGGCCAACATCACAGTGTTCACAGGGCTGCACTTCCTTTTGGGGGCTCTAAGTGAGGATGTTTCTTTGCCTTGTCCAGTTTCTCGGGGCCACTCACTTACTGACCTCCTTCACCCAAACCAGCAACGTATCTCTCCGGGCCTTTTTTCCGTAGTAACATCTCCCTCTGACTCTTATCTTCTACCTTCTACTTTTAAAGACACTAGTGATTACATTGGGCCCACCTAGATAATCCAGAATAATCTCCCTGTTTTAAGGTCAACTGATTAGCAACCTTAATTCTGTCTGCAACCTCAATTCCTTTTTGCCACGTAGCCTAACATATTCACGGGTTACAGGGGTTAAGGCATGGACATCTTTGGGGGACCATTTTTCTGCCTACACATCTATGTTTAGATTCTAAAGTTGTAAAAGGCAGCTGGGGCCAGGAGATGATTCCAAATTGGAGATCCTGGCTAATGCTGAGAACTATAAGTTGGATGAGTAGGACCATTATTTGGGTTGAGCTAAAAGGAATTGCTGAGCAGTGTACATACATGTTTTTAAATCTCTTGCTGGCGTAACGTATATATGGTAGATTGGGTATTCAAGAATGACTGAATTAGAAAGAGGCAACTGAATTTTGGTTACATCATGGTAGGGAGATGATTAAATTGCTAGAATAGATTTTACTTTGATTGTTTTGTGCCGGCCCTCAGAGGGAAATATTCATGGTTTAATTACAATTTTAGACAAGGTTTGAGTTTAATTTTAATTTTTGTATTTTTATTACAGATTGTTATTCCCTTGAATGCCACTCCTGCTATGGAGAAGATTGAGGAGCAGTTTGCTAATCTGAACATTGTTAGACGTTCCTCGGGGACTAAAGAGCCTACTTATCTGCTTGGCATAGACACATCCAAGACTGCACAAGCAGAAAAGGGAAGCTTGGTTGCTGTTTTATGTTCTAATGGATCAATCAGAATATATGATAAAGAAAGGTTAAACATACTACGAGAATTTAGTGGATATCCTGGACTTCTTAATGGAGTCAAATTTGCAAATTCTTGTGACAGTGTATACTCATCATGCACTGATGGCACTGTGAAATGTTGGGATGCTCGAGTAGCCAGTGAAAAACCTGTCCAGCTGTTCAAGGGGTACCCTTCCAATATTTTTATTAGTTTTGATATCAACTGTAATAATCATGTCATTTGTGCTGGTACAGAAAAAGTTGATGATGACGCCTTGTTGGTGTTTTGGGATGCAAGAATTAATTCTCAGGATTTGTCTAGTACTAAAGATCCACTTGGTGCATATTCAGAGACACATAGTGATGATATCACTCAAGTATGTTTCCACCCCAGCAATCCCAACATGGTAGTCTCAGGGTCAACTGATGGTCTGGTAAATGTATTTGATATTAGTGTTGATAATGAAGAAGATGCACTGGTTACAACATGTAACTCAGTTTCATCAGTAAGTTATATTGGTTGGTCTGGGAAAGATTATAAACAGATTTACTGCATGACACATGATGAAGGATTTTGTTGGTGGGATCTTAATCATCTTGATACTGATGAACCAATTACACGTTTGAACATCCAGGATGTCAGAGAAGTAATTCACATGAAAGAAGGTACTTTGGACTATTTGATTGGTGGCCTGTATCATGAAAAGATGGACAAATTGTTTGTTGTTGGAGGAACAAACACAGGAATTATTCACTTAATGAGCTGTACCACATCAGGATTGACCCATGTGACCAGCCTGCCGGGAGGGCATGCCGCTACAGTCCGTTCTTTCTGTTGGAATTTGCAAGATGATTCCTTGCTAACTGGAGGAGAAGATGCACAGTTGTTACTTTGGAAACCTGGAGCAATAGAGAAGACATTCACAAAGAAAGACAGCATGAAAGTAGCCTCCTCTGTGTACCAGCGAGTTCGCGTTCACAGCAACGATTCTTATAAGAGAAGGAAAAAGCAGTGATGGTACATTGGGAGTTTACTGGGTAGTTTCATAGTTGCAAGTAATTATTTTTATGTACTACCTGTCATAGACATGTTTAAAGCTCATATGTAAAAATAAGCCAGTTAGCAAACAGTCCTGGAAAAATGTTGAGAATGGTTTAATTCAGGTCGTCATCTAGTCTAAAATTATTTTTTTAAAAAGCCGCCAGTTGAGTATATAATCAGTGAGTTGAAAGTAAAATTACATTCCTCATTTTTAAAACCCATCTGTTGAGCTAGTAAATGCTGGTTTAAAGAAATAGCTTTGGTAAGGACTTTTGAGAAGTAGATGGCTGGTGTGACTTAAAAAAACAGGTGGTTTGGGCTACGTTTTTTTAAGCTCAATTTTTTACATTTAAATCATCTTCATTATTTATAAAACGAAGTCAGACTTTTTTTCACTTGAAGAGCTCCTGCTTCCTTAATACTCATAGATTACATTGGAGCATTTAAATGTAAATGTTCTAATGAGTCTAAATAGAATTAAACTTATTTAGAAATAAAGTGATTTGCATCTATTTAGGAAAAATATATTTAGTAAATATTTGCATCTATACTTTAATGTTGTTGGTTAAACAGTAAACAGGTGTTTCACTGATGAAAAGGAAATTATCGTGCAAAATTCATTTTGAGACTCAAAGTGAATATACAAAATGAAAGTATTTATAATAGCAGAATGACTATTTTTATTTCAAATGCCTAAATATTTTGTGAGAAGATTTTCTTCCATAGTGTTTCATCCATAATTTTAAACTTGAATTTTTGTTTACTGCTAATTTTTCATCCTTCCTCTTAAATATTTCTCCGAAGAATCTTAATTAAAAGTTAATCTCTCTGAAAGCTTAGTGTCTTTTATTATGCTTAATTAAAAATAAAAATATTGGGGCTGCATGCTGCAGCAGGTGTCCCACATATAAAATAAGAGGAGGATGGGCACAGATGTTAGCTCAGGGCCAGTCTTCCTTAGCAAAAAGAGAAGGATTGGCAGCAGATGTTAGCTCAGGGCTAATCTTCCTCAAAAAAAAAAATATTGGGGCCGGCCTGGGGTTTGCAGGTTCAGATCCTGAGTGCAGACCTACACACTGCTAATCAAGCCATGCTTGGTGGCATCCCACATACAAAATAGAGGAAGATGGGCACAGATGTTAGCTCAGGACAATCTTCCTCAAGCAAAAAGAGGAAGATTGGCAACAGATATTAGCCCAGGACCAATCTTCCTCACCAAAAAACAAAATTAAAATATCTTCTTATAGATAAAAATATTTGTAAAATTTTTTAATCTTTTAAATTAGAGATATTGTCATGAAAAACACAGAAGTTACTTTAGAACCTTTTCCATTTCTCTTTAAATGTTAATGACTTATCTCTGAGCCTGTAACACTGGGGGAAATTTTTATTTTTCTCTAGAACATTGCAACTTACATTTAAGCTCTGCTCTAGTCTAACTCACTTGAGATTAAACAATAGGTAAGTCACTGTTAGACGTATTCAAAATATATAATTCTTATTTGGAGAAATTCAGCTGTTCTTGCTGCTCTCCAAACCGTAAACCTAAGGGTAATTCTGGACTTTTCTCTTTTCTCCTAATCAGTCAATTGCCAAGTCCTGTGCCATTCCTCCTCCCAAGATCTGCCAGCTGTCCTTTTGTGTTTACCCCACCACTGCTGCCTTAGATCAGACTTTGAACATTTCTCACCCAGATTACAGTCTGTAATCTGCTCCAATTCCTTCTTCCCACCTCTTCTAGGCTAAACATCGAAAACACAGATTTGGTAATGCCTCATCCTGCTTAAAATCTTTGGTACATTTTGATATTTTGATGGAGCATCATGTAAAAGTGAAAAGCCATGTTTTCACTTTTTGGGTTTCACATTTTGGGTATGAGACAATGCTGAGTATGTTGTAAGTGGAAAAAGCTGGTTAAAAAGACTTTTGGAGGGGGCCGGCCCCATGGTGTAGTGGTTAAGTTTACATCCTCTGCTTCAGCGGACTGGGGTTTGCTGGTTTGGATACTGGGCACAGATCTACATATGGCTGATCAAGCCATGCTGTGGTGGTGTCCCACATAGAAGAAATAGAAGGACATACAACTAGTATATACAACCATGTACTGGGGCTTTGGAGAGAAAAGAAAAAAAAGAGGAAGATTGGCAACAGATGTTAGCTCAGGGCCAATCTTCCTCACCAAAAAAAGAAAAAGACTTTTGGAGATAATTGCATTTATAAAACAACAGGAAATGAAACAGAAGTTATCTGAACTATAGTTTTTAAAATATTCAAAATTCAGAAGTAATAGAGTTAGAAGATGCAGGTGAAGAAATATCTCTGAAAGTAGAACTCAAAAGGGACAGAGAAAAGATAAAAGCCACAGAAGGTAAGTATAGGGGTCTAACAGCAGACTAATAGTTTAACAAAGTGAAAAAAATTTTTAAAGGGGGAGAGGGATTATTAAAGTGAAAGAACGTAAGAAGCCTTCCCAGAACTTCAGATTGGTGCAACAGAGTGTCAAATGTAATAAATTAAAAAGAGCCCCACCAGGGCATAGCACGGTGAAGTTTTAGAACTTCAAGAATAAAGAAAAAAATCTTAAAAGTTTCCAAAGAGGAGGAAAAAACACTTAGGAACAAGAATAACATCTGCATTAGACTCCCTGTTAGCAAGCCTGGACGACAAAGAACGGGTCAATGCCTTCAGAGTCCTGAGGACAGGTTCCTGCTGTCTGAATTTATGATACTCTCCAAACTCATGAAGCAGATAGATTACAATAAATTGTTTGAGACGTCCCTTGCTAAGTGAACATTTCCTACTTGCTCTCTGAAACTCAGGAACCAAATTTATTTGGACCAAATTTCTCACAGAGTATCCATTGCTAACCAAGCTCATTGGCTGAAGTGAGGAAATAAAAAAGATTTGGATTTCAGGAGCTAATTGCTTTTCAACCTATAATTCTATGAGCAGACAAACTGCCCTTGAGCGTGAAGTTAAAACATTTCAGACATACAAGATTTCAAACTTGACTTTCTATGCAGCTTTTCAAAAGGCTACTAGAGGATGTACTTCACAAGATATAAGGGAGTAAATCAAGGAAGACAAGAGATACCAGCGATCAGGGCACCATCCCAACCTAGTGGCAGGATAACAGCTTTGCAGCAGGACTACAGTATTCAGTCTGGATTGGAGCAAGAGGGCAAGAGAGCAGGAGGGAGATGCCAGGGAGAAAAATGAGCTGACAGGTTACCCACTGCATTCAACCATGTGGAAAATGGTGTTAAGTGAATTAAAATCACCAATTAAAAGAGACCCTTGCATTGAAAATAATTTAAAAATGAAATCTTTAAAAAGATTAAAAAGTAAATAAGATTGACTTAAAGACATAGGTTAAAAAATAAAAGGATGAGAAAAAGTATACCAACCCACAGAAAGGGAGAAAATATTTGCAAATAATATATCAGATAAGAACTTGTATCCAGAATATAAAAAACCTTACTGCTCAAGAATAAAAAGACAACCCAGTTTTTTAAATGGTCAAAAGATCTGAATAGACATTTATCCAAAGAAGATATACGAATGGTCAATAAACACAAAAAAAGATGCTCAGCATCACTAATCATTAAGGAAATGCAAATCAAAACCACAATGAGATACTACTTCACACCCACTAGGATGGCTATAATCAAAAAAATGTCGAGGGGAGTGGGCCCCATGGCCAAGTGGTTAAGTTCGTGTGCTCCACTTCAGCCGCCCAGGGTTTTGCTGGTTCGAATCCTGGGCCTGGATATGGCACCACTCATCAAGCCGTGCTGAGGTGGCGTCCCACATAGCACAACCAGAAGGACCTACAACTAGAATATACCACTATGTCCTCAGGGGCTTTGGGGAGAAGAAGAAGAAGGAAAAAAGAAGATCAGCAACATATTAGCTCAGGCCAATCTAAAAAACACAAAAGAAATATATCAGGAGCCGTCCCATGGCCAAGTGGGTAAGTTCACACGCCCCACTTTGGTGGTCCAGAGCTTCACCGGTTTGGATCCTGGGCACAAACATGGCACTGCTCATCAGGCCATGATGAGGTGGCATCCCACATAGCACAGCCAGAGGGACCTACAACCAAGAAGATACGATGTACTGGGGGGCTTTGGAGAGGAGAAGGGAAAAAAAAGATGAAAAAATGTTGACGAGGATGTGGAGAAATTGAAAGCTTCACACACTGCTGGTGGGAATGTAAAATGGTACAGCTGCAGTCTGGCAGTTCCTCAAACAATTACACAGAGTTGCCATTTGACCCAGCAATTCCACTCCTGAAGAGAATTGAAAACATATCCACACAAAAACCTGTACATGAATGTTTCTAACAGCATTATTCGTAATAGCCAAAAGGTGCAAACAACCCAAATGTCCATCAGTTAATGAATGGGTGAAATATGTTATATCCATACAATGGAATATTATTCAGCCATAAAAATGAATAAAGTATTAATACATGCTACAACTTGGATGAATCTTGAAAACACGCTAAGTAAAAATAGCCACAAAAGAGTGCGTATTGTATAATTCCATTTACATCAAATGTACTGAATAGTCAAATCTTTAAAGAAAGAAAGTATATTAGTGGTCACCTGGGGCTGGGAGGTGAGGGGAAGTGGCAGAGTTGGTGGATGATAGCTAAAGGGTATGGGATTTCTTTTTAGGGGTGATGAAGATATTCTCTTTTTTTTTCTGCTTTTTCTCCCCAAGCCCGCCGGTACATAGTTGCATATTTTACTTGTGGGTCCTTCTAGTTGTGGTATATGGGGTGCTGCCTCAGTATGGCCTGATGAGCGGTGCAGTGTCCATGCCCAGGATCTGAACCGGTGAAACCCTGTGCCGCCAAAGCAGAGTGTGCGAACTTAATCACTCGGCCATGGGGCCAGCCCCGATAAAAATATTCTAAAGTTGGTTGTGATTATGGTTGCACAACTCTCTGAATACATAAAAACCATTGAATTGTACACTTTAAATAGATGAATTGTATAGTATGTGAATTATATCTGAATAAAGCTGTTACAAACAAAAAAAGATATGCCAGACAAATAGGAACTCAAAAGTCAGAACGGCAATTTTAATAGATAACAAAAAGAAATTTAAGGCTAATGTAACGTTGATTCCAAAACCAGATGAAAATGAAAATCAAAAAAGTTAGGTCCATTTTCTTTATGAATATGTATTCACAGTTAAGAATATTAAGCTAAGTGAATGCAATGGTGTATTTAAAAAAAAACAAGACCACATAAAATTTATCTCAAGAATACCAAGATATCTCGACATAAGAAAATCTATCACAGTGATGGACAAAAAGGAAAAAAACATCATGATTATTTTAATTGATAAAGAAAACATGGTAAGGTTTCACACCTACTTATGAAAAATGTAAACATCAAGCTATGGATAGAATAATTTTTTAAACTTGGTTGAGGTTTATATATAAAAAATTTACAGAAAATGTTATTCTTAGTGGAGAAATGTTAGATTAAATACCTTTATTAAATCCCTTTAATACCAAGGCTCAATGAGGAAGCCCATTGCAGTCATAGGGATTCTGGCACTTACTACAAGGAAAGAAAAAACTATAATGTGTAAGAATTGAAAGAGAAGAGGGAAAAAGTCTCCTTTGCAAATGATATATACCTAGAAAATCCAACGACCAACATACTATTTGAACTATTAAGATTCAGCAAAATTACCAGAATAAGGTCAGCCTGTGAAAATCTAAAGAATATCATTTCACAATAGCAAAAGTTTAAAAGTAGCAAGGAATTAACCCAGAATATACAAGATCTATTTGGAGAAAACTTTAAAATTCC